ATGTGTGGGTGAGAGCCAATAATACCTAAGAAGGGTGGAAAGAATGGGTCTAGCCTATGGTGTCAATGAAGTGGTAATACAAGTTGCAAGGACCCCTTTCTTCCACTGTAAGACAAAGCTGAGCATCTGCTTTTCCCTAAGTGTTCACATGAGCCTCTGCTCTCTGCTTTGCAGAGGCCTGACAGTCTGATGTAAATCAGCATGGCTTTGCTCCCTGCCGTAGATGGTAGATGTGACATCCTGTGCTAAGGATGCAGTCCGGCAGCTCTCACTGAGAAGCAAAGCTCCTTTCTCTCCTAATCGAGCAAGTGGAAACAACCTGGTATTTCAGGCATGCTACCTCTGTTCCCAAGCACAGCTGAACTCTTGATGCAGGGAGACTTTACAAGACCCGTGAGAGATGCCAAAGGCTGACCGTTTCTGTCATTGGGAGAGAGAAACCCCATAGTTACCTCCGATCAAAGAGGACAAAGCATTATAAAATATATTTAATAAAAGAAAACACACACAGAAAAAGAAAAAAAAAAGGAAAAGAGGCCAATGCACAGGAAGGTAATGTGTTCATTTGAATAATGGGCAAAATCAAATTAATTCTACATTAAATAGTTCTGAATAAAGGGTTTAAGTCAGCAGTTTCAAACTTGTTTTCCTTAATTACTTTCCGTGTTTAATGTCATTAAGAAGATTAAAAATTCATTAACAAGAGTAGTAAAGTGGCAAATCAGTAAAGCTATCACTCCAGGTTAAAAACTACGCTGAGGTTGACACTTTGTACACTTCCACAGGCATTGTGTGGAACGCTCCTGGGGAGCTGGGGTGGCTGGGGGGTCTCAGCAGCCCCCTCCTGCTGGGCCAGCCAGGGAGGTAGCCAAAGGGCCAGCCTTGGCTTGGTGTGGCGACCACTTTAACCATTAACTGAGCAAGGCAGAAGGCAGCATTTAGCAGAAGGGCAGCATGGACCATGGAATGCACAGCAGTATAACCCTCAAATATGGCAAGCATCAGAAACAGACTCAACCATGGAGAATGGCAGGTATTATAAAGCACTAAGGCATGTTAAGGCAATCCAATTGCTTGATTAGCTTCATGTCCTCAGCCCTCTTAGTGTGAAGACTCAGAGGGCACCAAGCACCAGGGAACCACTGAACTGCACCAGGCTGGCCTATGAGGACCAGGCAGGGTGGGGAGAGAAATCTGGGGCATTTTTTCTCCTTTATCTGTAAAGGATGCCAATATCCTTGGTCCCTAGGAATGGATACACAGTTTGAGAGCATAACAAGGCTGCTCATTCAGGCAGTACAACCAACACAACCTCATCAGCTTTTGTAAACCTGCTTCTTGCTGCTCTCCCAGGGAGCCTCGAGGTCCCCGATGACTCACAGAACCCACTGCAGCCCATCCCAAGCAGGTGAGAGATCATCTCCACCCAAACAGCTCTGATTTAGATGGGCCAAGCAGGCAAAAGAAAGCCCTTGGACACCTAACTGATGACCCGAGGTCATGCAGCAGGGCTGTGGGAGGGGCAGAAAGCATGCTTTTATCTATCTCTAATCCAGTGCGACAGCAGGCTGGTGTCACCCCACAGAAGCAGTGCAAAACTGGTGATGCTGGCCTTGCAAAACCAGCTTCCAGGAACCACAGCATCAGCTGTTTTAAAATAGTCTCCTTGTATCACTTTTATTTTCAGTTTCTTGAGTTCCTACAGGGACTTTATTTATCTTTATCTTAACAGAGCTCCATTCCAGCAGCCAGGAGCACAGTCCATCTGCAGCCCCACACTTGGGTCGTGGTGGCTCCCCACCACGGGTATTTGGCTGCGTATCCTATCTCTGCGACATGCGCCACGCAGTGCAAAGGCCCTGGTCCTTTGGGGTTTGAGGTACAAAAGCTGTCATCACAGGTCTGTGGTCAGGAGTGGACATGGAATCAAGCCACAGAGATGTGGTGGCATACAGCAGAGAACAGCATCCATTCTGCCCTGACATCTCGTAAACATAACGTACAAGAATGCTGTGCACATTGTGTTAGTAAGGAGCTGGTAGCTTCCATCAGGTTCCCATTATGAGACATCCCAGACCCAGAGAGCATATTATCCCCAGTTATTAGGTGAAGAAACTGAGGCACAGGAAAGTGACTGACAGTCATTGCTCGTTGCCGTAGAGAAATCTGGAAGTAAAACTTTCCTGCCCAGGCTTCCACAGGCTCATCACCAGCTTCAGCAGCATCATCCTCAGCTGAAAAAGCAGAGGACACTTGGGGGAAAACAGCATTTGAGGTCTGGAGCTGTAAGAAGTAATAGAGGCAGTAGATGGAGGGGGGGGGGGAAAGGAAAAAACCTTGAACATATTAAGAGCTGAGAAAGGGGATGTTTTCCTGAGAGTCCTGTTACAGGTGCATGTTGGTTGCTTTTCATGATCGTCACTAAACCCAGAGACATACATGAGGTCCTAAGACATGCAGCAGGTGGATGCAGGAGAAGAGTAGCCTTGGCTGAAGGTAATGCTAAGTCTTTTCCACTCCCTTTGCCTGCCCCACAGAGCCCCTCAGACCCCTGCTGTCTCAAGTCCCAAATAGTCCTGGGTTTATTTGTGTTTTTTTAAGAGGCTCTGATCAGTCAGACCATGTCAGGAAGGGTCTGCGGGTTGCCCAGTGGCTGGATTTCCCTCTCCTTTATTTCGCTGAGCAGAAAGCGCAGGGGTTTGAAGTATTTCTGGTCAGTTTTGGAATTGAAATATTTTTGCTTTCAGTTGCCAAATTTTCCTTGAATCAGGAAGTCGGAGCCCTGCTCTGATGAGCAGTAGAACGGAAAGACACATTTCCCTGCTATTTTTCTCTGGCTTTGATGAGGGGCTCCCATCTGTAGGGCCACACGTTTGTCCCGCTGCTCTCTCCCAGCCGCTGCAGGATCAAGCAAAAGCCCATTCTCACCATATCCCTTTGTTCCCAGGGAAGCCACAGCAGCCCTGTTTTGGGAGCAGGTGGGAGGAGAGAAAGCCCTTTTTTTTTTTTGCCCTCCCCTTTTATTCTCTTCCAAGCTTTAATTATCGAAGGACTGAATTTGAGCTGTTCCTGCCTCTTCCTTCCTTCCCGGACAGCATTTCTAACAAAAGCCTGTGGTTGGGTTTGGGGGTTTGGTTTTGGTTTTTTTCTCTTTTCTTTTCCCCTCCAGAGATCTAAGGCCTGTAATGAGATACCAACACCCTCTCCTTCCTACAGCCCCCAACCCAGGCCCTCCCTCTGCCAAGGCACCCCCATTGCCTCCCGGTGCTCCCAGGGGAGGGAGTGCACCCGATACCAGCACAGGAGATCGCTGTCGACCCTCATGGTCCTCCCTGGAAGGTGAAGGCGATAGAGTTACAAGGGAGAGCAGCTTGCAAACTGCCTCCGCTTTGATGGAGCATCATTTAATTATCTTCCTCTCCCCCAAGTCCTCCCCCAGTGAAAAAGATCTCCTATTGTCTAGGCTAATTTGTCCCTTTTGCTCCATTCCCTAACCCGTGTGTGAAACCCCTGACTCACATTACTCCATCACCCATCTCTCCCACTCCTCTCCCCGTGCTGTGAATTGCAAGGGCAGGAGTCTCTGGGTGTCCTCCTTGCTCTCTGTGCTCCAGGGACAAATCCTGGGATGTGAAGCTAGAGGGAATTGAAGAGCACAGCACTCACAGCCCTCACTGATCAGCCATTGTCAAAGAGACAAGGTGATGAAAAACCTCCAGAGATCTGGCTCCCATGGCCCTCCATCAACCGGAGTGAGCTTCCAGGAGCAATGCCCAGGCTCCTCATCACCCCAAGTGCGGTTACACCACTGGGGATGAGGACAGAGGATAGAAGAAGTCATCACTTGAAGACATCCACGCCATCTTCTCCAAGCCACCTTCTCTACCTGGGGGAACTCTGTGGTTGCTGAAATCCTGTTTCCATTTTGGATTGGAAGAGGGGAAGGAGCAGAAGCCTGTGAGCTGTTTCATTTGGATATTTTCCTCATAGCAGAGGAGCAGTGCCTGTTGCCAGCTGGCTGCACAGCCCAGGGCACTGGGCAAGAGCTGCGCCCGAGCCCAGGTGTGGGCTGATGTTGAGCTGTCTGGTCTACCACTCTCCTGTCAGATGCAGAGCTGCGGCACAAACATGGAGGGCTACTGGTGATGGGGAGGTAGCAAGGGAAGGAAGTACCCCCGCTCCAGCTCCGCAGGTAGCTGATAACTATGCAGGGCAACAGCCTCATCTGCTTCCCAGCAGCAGGGACTTGCCCAGAGTTCTGCTCACTGCAGGCTCCCCTGCCATGAGCCCAGTGGCTTGGGGTGGGCTTAGCATGGAGCACAGTCTGGTGTGCCATGGGGGCACAGGCAGGGAAGTGAGAGGGGATTCTGGCCATCTGCAGCGCCTCTGGCCATGGATAGGGACTGGGAGATAAAACCCCATGGGGAAGCCAACCCTTTCCTGCTCATCTTCCTCCAGGCACCTCAGAAAGGCATTGAACAGGGGCTGTTGCACAGCAATCAAGGGCTGAGGAAAGGGAGCCAAAACAGGGAGCAGAGCAGAGCAGTTGCCAGGTTGACTTGAGCCAGAGCCTTTCATGAGGGAGTGAGGGGAGGGACAGACCAAGGGGCAGGGAACATGGAGAATCAACATTGTCTTCTCCAAAGAGGAAGAGAAAAGAGAGAGAGAAAGCAGAAGGAAGAGAAAGGGAAACAGGACTTGTTGGGGGGAAGAGGAGGATGCTCAGGGATTGAAGCAGGTTGGGGTCCAACTTAATAAGAAGCGAGCCAAAACAAAACCCAAACAAAAAGTGCCTGGAGTTGGCGGTGGGCACCCCCTCCCCCAGGCAGCCATCCCCAGAAGGCAGTGAAGCTGCCTTTTCAAACAGCCGCCTCACAATAAATTCATGGCAGCCAAGGCCGGGAAACAGGCTGCTGCAATTTAAAGGAAGCGTGGATTTGCATATTGAATTAAAATTAAGAGCTAATTATGCAAATAAATTATGACATTTGGCAGGAGAATTTGCTTCAAGATCATTTATTACGTTCTTTTTATAACAGTGCAAGCGCTTAACGGTCAAAGACAATATTTTAAAGGAAAATTAACGCAAGATTATTAACCTAAAAACAATTCCACATTAATGAGATGCATTTCTCTTCAACTTCTCACACCTGGCTGCCTATTGATGCCCAGCCAGGACTGTCTTTCAATAATTGGCGTTTTTTTTGCAGGCAAATATTGAATGAGGTGGTGAACGTTGCTTTGGACAAACTCACTCCGGAGAATTCCTTCAGGGTTTTATCCTGCTGGTCTGTAAAGGAAAGTTGTGAAGGTCAAACATGTTTCATGTTGCTCTTCTGTGCACTTGGACTGACCAGGTCCGGATGCGCTTGGGAGAGGACACTGCGCTGGCTACCCCATCCGCATAAGAATAAAAGCTCCCCTGCTAAAATGTGTGTGATTGCTTTTCAGAAGAGATACAAAACAAAGGTCTCAGCCATTTTGGTCATTAAAGATCCTGTGTCTTTTTTTCTTCCCAAGATGAGGGCTGTTAACTCTGGTGTCTTGGCTCCCCTCTAGCTCAGGCAATTGCTGCTGTCCACCTGCCCTGTTCTGGGACTCTCCAGTAGGGCAAACGCTGCATTTCTCATCCGAGGACAGTGGTGCACTGGCTGTAGTCTCACCAGTAGCCAGGTTCTTCCTGCAAAGAGGATGGCTTCAAGGAGGGCCCACACTAGGGTTTGGATCAGGAAGCCTCACTGGGATCGAGGGATGCAGATGGCTCCAGGGCCCAAAAGCTGTCCATTCCCAGACATCACCTGTGAAAAGCCTCTGGTGCAGGTTCATCCTACACAACTAAGGTCGTCACCTATGGTTAGGTGAGCAGTTGTGTTTCTGAGGGACTGGCTCTTGTTCAAATAGGAAAGAGGCTCAACCATTTGGGGTTTGAAATGAACCTATCTAAAGAAGAAAAGTTTTCTTATGGAAGACAGCAGACGCTTGCCCCAGCAATCTTATTTTGCCTCTCTCCATGCTGCAGCCAGGCAGAATGCTGGGGAACTGGGAGGCTACATTTGCAATTAGGTTGCAGGAGCTTTTGCAGGGAGTTACAAGGAAGCTGTGGCCAGGAAGAACTGGAGGGGAGCAAACTATTCCCAAATGGTTCAGAAAGAAACTACCATCCTCAAAGATGGTCCTTTGCAGCCTTGCCAAGGAAGACGAGGGTAACATGGCACTAGTCCTTTAATCATCTTGACCCGTCCTTTGCCTCCAGCCCTGGCGATTGTCCACTGCAATCTGCACACTTCTATGGCAGGATGGCACATCAGGACACGTGTTGGTTCCAGGATTTCTTTTTTTCCATTTCTTTACCCCTGCATCTTATATGTGCCCTCACAGAACCATCTGCCTTTGTTATAACCAGGGTTTCCTGAACTCCATACCCTGTCAAAGCTTGAGGGGACTTTACCCAGACCTCAAAGGGCATTTCTCTTCTTAAGTAGCTGGAAGACTGATTTTCATGATTCTTCTATCACCTCTCTCAAGAGATTTTCCCCCTCTCAAGTTCAAGGTGGAGAGGACATTCCCTGCTAAATCAGTCCTGGCGCACAGCACACAATGGTGTGCAGAGCCAACCACAGGTAACAAATTGTGTTGCAATAAATGAAGGGTTTGGAGCCAGACAAAATGTGTGACATTCGAAGTTCTCAGCTCTCCTCCTTCAGAAAGGCAATCTGTGACTTCTGGACCCTCCTTAATGACCCAGAGCCGGATGGAAAATAATATTAATAATAATAAAAGAAACAAAGAAGGGGCTGGAGCATTTTTTAAATAAAGAAATTTCCCTCATCTTGCGGTTAATTTAAAAGGTTTATTTCTTGAAATGAATCCTCTTCATCAAATCTCCGATCCTTGAAAATCAGTACAACCTGCCTCTGTGGATAATGAATTGATTTGTAATGTAAATTATATAAAACACCCTCCCCGCCAGCATTTGTGTGTGAGTGTGTTTAATCTAAAGCGTTTAAGTCTGAAAATGAGCTTCTCCATCAAAAGTCTCGATTCCATTTACATTTCTTGCATACGAGTCAATTTGTGCCTGACCCACTCTATAAATCACTGCCAAGGAGTGCTGTGTCTGTACCTCTCCTCTTCCCCCACCCCCTCCCCTCACCCTCCCATCCTTACACATGCTATGTTCAAAAGCCATCCTCGATACTGCCTATAAACAGCTCCCAGTTCTCTGGGCAAGCATCGACCTGTGGAGGAGGGACCCTGGCTTTGAGAGGTGTGCAGCACAGGCAGCTAGCAGCAGGCAGGAAAAGGAAGGGGAGGAAGGGAAGTCCTGCTCAGCTTCTGCTGGCTGCTCTGGAAGGATCACCCAAGGAAAGGTGCCCTCTGTCTTTGTGGCTCCTTTCCAACATATGGTTGCCTGAGCACTAAAGGAGCCCATGGCTTAATGGTGTTAGAGGCTGAGGTCTTCTACTGGTGTGTATTAACACAGTCTTGTAAAATCCATGGAACGGGAATGATTTACACCACCAGAGGCTTTAGCCCACAACTGTCTGATCATGCCAACTTTCATCCTTCATCTCATCCCATTGGTAGCAAGATGATGTGGGTCACACCTCCTTAGCTTGCCTCCTGGGTGCTGAAACCACTGGGAGGTGCCTCTAGGGATCAGAGGCTCCCCTTGCTGCTTGAACTTCCATATGGCAAGTGCCTGAGGTCTTTAGGGAGAGCAGGAGAACTGGAAATGGTGGTATCTTCACCCAGAAAATCTGTTGACCCACCTGGGTATTGGCATTAGAAGTGGCTTAGTAGCAACGCACCTGAGGACCAGCTGGACAGGAGGCTAACCATTGACTTCAATCTCCTCCATGAAATATCAGCAGTGCTTGTGAAACATACAGCTTTCCACAGAGCCATATTTTATAGCTAAATACAGAATGTGAACAGGATCACCAGACTACCATTGGCACTGGCAGGGAATTTTGTGACATGCGTTTTTTCCACTCTATTTTTTCTTCAGGAAAGGCACAATTTAAACTGATTTCTAACATCAGGGGAGAAAAAAATGGAATCAAGTTTTAGACCATTTCATTAGTCCAAAAATGAAAAATTCCAATATACCAGTGGTGAAACAACTGCTCTATTCAAGCTACAGATGCAGTAACAAAAAATTAACAGTTATATCAGCCAAAAAAAGAACATGGCAAATACTAGAAGAGCTGTTGGAGATACTTCCACATTTCCCCAGATATTTATGCATGAAGGTTTACAAAGCCAACTTCACCAATTCTTGGATTCTCTTGCTTTCTCTCCTCTCATAGCAGAAATCAGAGCACAGAATGTGTCCAGGTCTCCAAAAGAGCATGAGATGAAGAACAGGACCAGTGGTCACCTACTCTACCCAAAGCCACATCATTTCTTCCTCTGCAAACCCTGACTTGCCCTAACACTGCTCTCTCGAAGTACCCCATAAGAGGTGAGCTCCATTCATTGCCACCTGGCTGATCTGTCACTCACCAAAACGGGAAAGGTTGTTGTCCAGACAAAAGAGGTGAGAATTCAGCTTGTGACAGAAAGTCAATCTGAGGTGACAGCCTTCTGAAAAGAATTACATTGCTTCATAGGCTTGATACCAGCAAGATGCTGCTTCTCTGTGCCTTGGTTTTTTACCTTTGAAATAGGGTTAATGCTTCCTTTCTCCCATCTTTTCTCAGTTTGAATATAAGGTCTGTAGAGTGTGGGCTGTTACCATATGAACATACAGCCCTGAGCACAATGGGGATTCTGGCCTTACGTGCTGTTGTAATACAAATAGTAGGAAGAGTTTTTCCTCAAGATTACCCTAGGGAAATGAGGTCAGACCTTCAGTGAAGGAAGACACAAACCTATTACCAGCTTCTGTGGGGACTAATACAATTTGCACTTTGTTAGAGGAATTCAAACTGATTTGTACACATTAATTACTCTTTGCAGCATCCCAGCTGGATAAATATTATTACCTTCACTTTACAGAAAGGGTAGCTAAGATGTAGAGGAATTCATTTGTTTGACTGCAACTGTACAGCATGCCAATGACAGAAGCCAGGAATAAAATGTTAAGAGGACCTATTGCCAGTCCACAGTCCACTCCAAACTTATGGGTCCCAAGTATGTTTATTTGCCAAGAAGGACATAACAAGTGAAGGAGGTGGCTGTGCCTCCTAGCTGTCTTAGGTACTGCTGTGATGGGGTATGGAATGTAATGCTCCAAACCCCAGCCTGCACAGCCTTGCAACAATAGGAGGAGGAAATGAAAGTACAATTAGCTGGAAATAAATGATTTTTCATTGCATGTATTTCCCAAGCTGATGCGTTGGGGAATGAACCACACGTTATTTCATGGAGCAGCATCTTTCAAGATCTGTAGAATAACTTGAAAGAAACACAGCTTTTCTGTTTCGACATTTTTTTGCAGTATCTCTGAATGCTGTCTGCCCTGGGTTCAGGCGTAGGTGCTGCTGTATTTCTTTTTTTATTTTCATGAAAAGGAAATTCTGGAGAAGTTTTGTAGCTGTTGAAGCTTCTCACCTTCATTTCCTCAGCATCTCATGTGTTACACAGAGATAGTCAGCATATGGCCTACAGAAATAAAATATTTTGTACCTTAGATACCAACCCCTCTTAATTCCTGTTTTCGTGTTTTTCTTGTGCTAAGCCAGTTAAATACAGGTGATGCTCCCCTCTCCAGCAGAAATGTTTAATTGAAGTCTGAGAAAGAAAATGAGAGAACACAAAGCAGAAGCAAAAATGGAAATGCGAATAACAAATTTGGTTTGACATCAATCAATAATTTCTTCATGTTGTTATTGGGGAAGGAGGAGGTACCTTTAAAAAACAAAATCCTTTTTTTCTGCAAATGCAAAACATGTCCATAAATTTTCCTGCCATCTTTAATGTGTTGTGTTTCTTCTGTGTGGGGAACAGAGGAACTTGGTATTTCTATGTTGCAGCAGATAGGCTTGGAAGATGGGACCAGAGCAATAGCATCCCAGAGGAGGCAAAATGGATTCTCCAGGTAAGAGGGGTCTGAGAGTATTGCAATAACAATAGGAAGCTCCCTACTTAATTAGTCTTAGTTACATTTGAATTGGTATTCTGTAGGATGGTATTTTTGAACCTGTGGTCTGCAGATTCCTGGGAGAACATGGTTTAATTGTAAGGAGGGTGGGAAAAGAAATTTCACCAAGACGTTTGGGGCTTGGGAATTTTCACGGGGTGGGGGGGGATGTTGAGCCCTCATGAGAGATTTTTCAGGGGTCCACAAAGCAAGTTGAAAGCCACTGCAGCGGGATAATGTTATATTGATTGCTTTGGTTTTGCAGGGGATAGATTTTGTTTAATCTTCCCCTTCCTTACATTACTTGACACCATTGGTTTTGTCTTCACTGACATCAAATATAAAAAATCACTAAAGAAGAGACTTTCTAATGTGTTTTGTACTACTTCGGGGTGGGTCATTACACAGGAAGCATTTTCTGGGGCATAGTAGCTCTTTAAAACAAGTTTTAAATAAGAAATCGGGTAGCCCAGAAGAGCATGTCTTGAAAAGGATGAGAAGATCTCATATGGTGCAGGTTTTAAAAGAAACTGTTAAATATGGGGCCTTGCGAGAACTGGACAGAGGGAGACAGAGAGGCCTTCCCTGGTCTGAGAGCCCATCAAGCTACCACCACTACGGGGCAAATGCTGTGGTTCAGGTGGGTGTTGCAGGGAAAACCTTTATTTTATGAGTTTTTTGGTCTGTGGTGTGGTACAGTAGGAAGCAGCACCTCACCCCACACAGATAAGTGTGTGACAGAGGGCTGTGCGTTTGCAATGGGGTGACTGAGATGGGGCAGACTTCCCACCGCCTCATACACCCCAAGCTGCCAAATCAGGTTGCCACCAGGCGTGGTCCAGCCCAGACAGGAGCCCATGAGGGAGGTCAGAGAGGAGAATGAAGGGACATGGCTTCTACTTGACAAACACAAACTTGTTTCTCGTCCTCCTCCATCCTTTACAAATTCCTGGTGCCTGTCACCCTGCTGGCCACTCCAAGGGTTTTAATAAAAAGGGAAAACATTTGATGTGAGAACAGTAAGGAGAGAGGCAGTATGGAGGGAGGGGGCCAGACAATGTACCATATGGAGAACAGAAGGATGCTGGGTGGCTGCATTCAGAGCCCATCCCTCTGTTCTCCCTGCACTCCACAGCCCCTGCTCTGTCGATGGGCTCTTAACATAACAAGTGAGCCAAGGGGGTAGCCAGCCCCATGTTCGAAGCCCCTAGATTCCTCTGCCTTGGCTCCTGCCTCCCAGCTACTGATCCCAGGCAGACAAGGGCCCTTCCCCGCATCCTCCCCTGCAGCACTGTTGTCTCCCAGCCTCTGCAGTAGGAAGGGATGCCCCTGAGTCCTCTCCTGATAAAGACCAGTAAAGCCGTGTGTGTGAGAATACATATATATATACATACAAATATGCATGTATGTATATATGCATATACAGTAATACAGTAAATAAAGCAAGCCAGCCAAGCCCTTCAGGCAATTTTAGCTCTGTCTATGGTTCAGGAAAAGGGTTTTCCTTCCTCTCCTCCCATCTCCTAATGAAATTCCCCAGGCTTTCCTCTTTTCTTCCCTGCCACTGAAGGGTACTCACATGGGCATACAGTCAGGGACTGTCTCCTGTGGTTGGAGCAACATAGGCTATCAAGATGGGGAAATCTTCTATTTGCCAAGGTTGTCAGGGACAGAGGCTTTGCCATAAACCCCTCCAGTGCCTCATCAAAGCACTCATTACCCCCTCCATGTTCTGTCTGTTTGATTCAGAGCACTCCTTCACCCTATTGCCCCTGCCTTCTCCTCCCTCACCCCTCTAGCCATGTACATACACACCAAGGCTGCCCATGGCTGGAGGTAAGAAGATGCAGAATTGATGGATGTCCTTTCTAGACCATGCACCTCTGCACAACATCCCATCCCATGGCCCACACACCCCTACCTCCCGGCTGAGCCTCACACATGGTCCTCACATGCCTTCCCTGAGCAGCTCTGAACTGACAGACCAAGCACTTCACGGTTCCTCCACAAAACAGAAGAATGGGCTGGGGAAGGAACACGGAGCTGGAGAGCTCTGAAGGTCAGCAGTGCCAAGTGCTGCCCTATTGCAGGAAGCACAGGCGAGGGGCTCAGCCATGCTCACCCTCTGTCTCCTGCACAAAGCAGTTTCTTTACACAGAGAAGGTGAGCTCCCGTGCCCCGGTGTCCATCTCTTTTTGCCTCCTGTAGCACATGAAAATGCTGACGGATTTCCCCAATCACTAGCCATGCTGGCTAGTGGCTAAGGCACTTCATTTCAGACCCTGTGCAGGTATTTCTTACCATATATTATAGTGAATAATGTATCCTCAGCCATGCAGCACAAGGCTTATAAGGCTATCTCAGTATTCTGGTGACAGCTTTAAACCACTCGACCATTGACCATTCAGGTCTCATGGTTTATAGAGTCACCAGCACACCTTGACAGGGTTATAGCCTACTTATTGGTATAAAGCATGGTTAGGGATACATTATTATAGCACGTTGTTTCTGAAACAGGGCCCTGTGCCACTGGTGGCCTAGAGAGCCCTTGTTGGTGATCTGCAAAGGGCTGTGTGATATGGACAGTCCAGTTAACTTCTAGCTGATAAACCCTGATGAGCAGTTTGTTGGAGTGACCTGAGGGACAGAGTTCACTCTCAGATCCTGGAGTGCAGGAAGCACAGGCAGCTCTGACAAAAGAGGCTGCAAAGAGCTGCTTTCTATGACAGCGGGCACCCAACTGTGCCTGAAGACCTCTCTAAAACACTGGTGATCCAAAGGGTTGAAGTCCCTCTGGTCCAACAGCCACCATGCAGGTTGCTGTGTGGCTGAGAAATGCTTTGAAGAAAGAGCGCTGCTTCCATGCTGTGTGGCTTTCATCCACCTTTTCTTGGCTGCTTTGGGTTGGACGTAACCTGACCATGTTGCTTCTGTATAGATGCCAATTTCGTTTGGCTCATGCTGAACACTCATTAACAGTTACTAGGGTTAAGGTAGTTAACCACTACAGCTAAGGTTGAAATCTGGCTTTTCTTCTGATTTCAGATCTACAAGCTTTTCCCATCTCCCACAGAAAAGCTTCTTCCTTGTTCACACTGGTCCAGCCTTGCTCTCCAGATCAGTGATTTTACTATAAAGTTCCCAAGAATTTGAATACAACATGAGCTTGTTTTGGTAGTTATTACAGAGCTGGGGCACTTTAACAGAGACCTCAAGTTAAAAATGTTGAACTCGGGTTGCTTCCTGATCTCACTGGATTTGTTAAATATTGAGCCAAATTTGGAGAAAAATTACCTTGGTACTTTGAAAGCCCTCAAATCGGGAACTCAGCAATAATGCATCTGTGCTTTAAAATTTCTCTCTCTGCACTCCCTCTTTAAGTACTATTAAAGGAAATATTTGTTAAGGATATTTCAGCAATAGGACTGGCTAAATGGATCCACTACAGAATTACTACCACACATCAATGTTCAGGTGCCTCTGAAACACATGGACTCATTTTCTCAAATGTTATGTTTTAGTCTCAGAGAGCTCTTGACCACAGTCCTGTTTGACATACGCCTCTTCTGTGTCTTCTCTTAGTTTTCACTGCAGCCTTGATCCTGCAGAGATACATGCTTGTTATTACCTTTAAGCACGTAAATAGTCCCTCTGAGTTCAAGAGGATGGTTACAATTAACAGTGTAAGCATCCCCTGATAGGGCTGAGGCTGACCATGGATGCTGCTGACAGATGGCCTGGTTTGGGATCATCCAGCTGCACTGACCTGACCTGGGTCAGGCATCCTTGCAGCATCACATCTTACCGAGTTAGCCAGAGCACATGCTGCACAGCTTTTGTGCCACCTTCAATTTTATTCC